TCAGTGTAAGTCTTTTGATGATAATGGGTGGAAGTATTGCAAAATTTGATGTTCCTAGCTGCATAAATGGAGAAGTTATAGCGAAAAATCCCATATCTGAACAATCAGTTGTGTGGGAGCTATATGTTATAGTGGTCCGATTCTTCCGGTTCCGACAAATGATTAATACATTATAAAAATACACCCACCTACCAAATTTCATCCGGATATCGCGAAAACTAGAAAGACTAGATTGCATACAAACAGACAGACAGACGGGCAGACGGACATGGCTAAATCGACTCAGCTCGACGTTGTCGAGCTATAATACCATTTCATGCTCATGAAAGGTATAAAAACCCGGATTGAAAATTATAAAATGAAATTTATAAGGAAACTAACTAAAGATATGTGGGTGAAAAGAGAATCCAAAAGCGATTTGCGCCAAAACAAAAAAAAATGAAATGCGTGACAAGTGAATTATTGCAAAAAAAAACTACAAGTTCTTAGACTACGTTAGTTTAGTTAACTTAAATACTAAAAGCGAAGTTGAATTCATTAAATTGTTCCTCAATAAAGAAAAGATAAAAAAACGAAATAATAAAACCATGCGGTAAAACTAAAATGTAAGAGAAAAGCAACCCTTTGATAAATTAAGCACAAAGCGTGAAAAGTTTGAAAATAAACGAGTAAAAAAAAACGAAAACAGATCTCAATAAGGAAATTCAGGAAAGATTCTAAATCTTCAAGCAAAACAAAACGGCTTCAAATCTGATACCTAAGCAAAAATAATAACTAATTCATAGAATTCATAAACTAAATGCGTAAGTATAAAAACTAAATAATTTCTATAATCAACAAATAAAGCTCAACCGCTGTTGGTCGTGCTGGTGGTCGCTCTTCTTGAATTTTGGAGGGGCGGGAAGGGGGGGGCGGGCGATCGCCGCTACTGTCCGCGCGGCGAAAATATGTATGTATGTATGTATGAACGCCTTCTTCTGCACAAACAAATCCCGCTCTCCCAATTCAGCCCACTGGAACTCCGCTCACTCCCACCATGGCAGGTCTCCACTCGCTCAGATTTCCGCTTCAAGCATTGTTCAGCGGGCATTCACCTGCTCTCAATTCGGCGATTTCGCACAGCTGATCCCGGTCTCCTTGTTGTTGCCTTTTGGCATAGGCTAAGATCTCAGCCGGTATAAAATTGTATCTGGTTGCTGAGGCGTAGGTAATGGTGTGTGTGCATATACTGTGTTCCGCTTCTGGCCGGAGCCTGTTGTTAGCGCAGTGGCCGGCTCCCCAGTCCTTGCGTCCTATATCGCAACAATCGTTGAATTTTGGCTATACACCTTGAACCTGTGTACTGCGACCTAAAAAGACAAGTTTAGTCAAAATTTAATATTTTTAAAAATTTTCGGTATATTATTCTAATTATA